CCGTTAGGAGTGTGAAAATTTTCTGTTGACAGGTGGTAGCACACTTCGAGGAAGGTCGACTGGTCTTGGTACTGTTTCCAAGGGCTGATATTCAGAGACGCCTCTTTGCATGGCCGTCTTGACCAATCAGGTCAGAGCTGCTTAGCACATCATCTTACCCAACGTCTCAAAGTTTCGCAAAAAGCGATGGACATTGATGTCCATGCCGTTTGCTTTCAGAAGTATTTATCCTCATCTGCTAACCAATCTTCATATTAATTCATCAAAAAAGAAGTTGGGAAATTAAAAGAAACGTCCAGTATTGCGCGCGAGATCTCACTGCCATGGCAACCTGCCTATGCGTTGCTTTCTGATTGGCCAATCCCTCTACCATATAAGAGGGCGGTAGGCAAAAGTGTTTCAAATACAATGGAGCAAGAACAGTCGACGCATCCAAAGACCGTCTACTTTTACCCTGATGGCAGCAGCCACGGCGAGGGCGTGAGGGTCGTTATCCAATCAAATCGTTTCCGCAACATTGAGGCACTGTTGGAATTTCTCACCGAACGACTTCCCGAGATACCCTATGGTGTGAGGTCGATTTTTTCGCCCCGCGGTCGAACTCGCGTCCAGACGATCACTGAACTCAACAACGGCGGGCACTACATTGCCTCGGATCGCCGCCAACGCGCCAAAGGCATCCGGTTGGAGGAACGATCGATCCTGCTGCCTGGCTGGCGAGCCGGTCGGCCGCCAAGCGGTCAGAAGCTGCTCAGCTACAGTCTCAAACTCGGAGCCGAGTCGGCCACGGTTGTGCCGTGTCACAGCCAACCAAGGTCCAGGCGGCAAACCGGGAAAGTCATCTATGTGCACCAAAATGGCGACGCATTCCATCGACACCGGGTGCTGCTTGAGCGACGCGTGAGAGACAACATTGGCTTCGTGCTTCAGGAACTCAGCCTTCAGCTCTGTCAGCCCGTTCACAAGCTGTACACACTCGAAGGCCATGAGGTAAGACGGCAAAATACTTTCGATACCTACGCTGAAATCCACACCTTGTGGATTTTGGATGGCAAACATCCCCGGAAAAAAAGTAAATTACAAGAAAACCTGAGTAAGAGTACTGTTCTAAGGTCATTCAAAAGGTCCGTGTTAGCAATACTGTGTTCCTCCAAGGCAAAAAATCAATATGGGAACAGGTCTTCCCCAAGACAGATTGCTTGCTATTTCCTGTCTTAGCGACATCTTGACTTTGTTCATTCCGAATAGGGCAATAAAGGCATTCACACTTCACTGCTCAAATCACAAACGCATAGTAGAATGCGAAACTTAACTCGTAATAGCAGTTTATCCCTTCAGAACTGTTCAAATCCGTTCCACAAGAGTAGGTTGCACTTAAGGCCGCAGATAATAAAGCGTCATCTAATTTTTCTAAGCTAGAAAGTTGTTTTAAATAAACACATGCTGCCAGTGACAAGCTTCCTGTGAATTCGACACAAACTACTGTGAATTAAAATCGCTCAACTGATAGCAAGTAATTCATTCTTAAAGTACGCATCAATGCTTTCTTACATGACGCAGAAAATTAGGAACAAAACCATTAATTCGTCTGCTAATTATCTCAGGAAAGATGGAAATTTTGCGTTACCAGTCTGGACTCTGAGATGATGGCTTAGGGTGTGAGGACTGAGGTGGGACAAAGCTGACTTTGCTTTAAATATGAGCTTATTGAAAATCGATTTCATATTGAGTAGCTGTTGAGGGGCATGAGGTGCCCTCCAATTACACACTTGTCTTCCAAATTAACCTGCCCAACGACCGACAACTGCAACATAAACGCACATTTAATTGTCGTTCATAGTTGACCAGATAGCAAGTAACAAAGAATTGTTTTCTATTTGTGATCTTAAGTAAAATTAGACCATTTAAGGAGTTTTTACAAGCGCTCACAGTCGCGTATTCATCGACTGTTTTACTAAATCTTACTTTAAATAAAAAGGCGTATCCTCCGTCACACCATCCTACAATTCTTTCCGTAATATTGTCTCATGTTTTCGTGCTATTATCCCAAAACTCCGATTAGTTTTAGATGAAATTGGACAGCGACTTGTTAAGTTATTTTCAGAACTCCAGCACAATTTTTTTCTTTCTTAGCGAACGTTTTAATTGTAAGATAGTAACTGCTGGTTTCATTAGCAAATGGGAGCTTTAATTGTGGAGAAAATGTCTCAAGCCTTGTTGCTTCCAGGTGCAGACGATCGACGAGATATTCGAGGGACCAGAAGAGTACGTGGCAGTGGGTCTGGAGAAGTTTCGGCCCCTTTCCAAGGTCCAAGTGGACCTCTCTTCAAAACGCCACCGTCCGCCTGAACGCGCCTGTGTCCACCACGGCCCGCGGACCCTGCGCCATCGTTCAGCCCGTGCTGGCGCACAGCGAGACGTCCACTCTGGCGACGAGAAGGAACCGCACAAGCCGGCTGCTGAAACCCCGGAAGGCGACCCCAACTGCTCTGCTTCGAAGAGAGCAGAAGACGACGGGGACAGACGAGGGGCGAGCACGAAGGCTGGCAGCGGTCTGCGGGCAAGCAGGTCGATGGTTCAATTGCCTGACAAACAATCCAAACGACGTGTTCCCGGTAGTGTACCGTTTCGTTATCAAAAAACGTGCAATTAAATACCAACTCCAAGTTATTAATAACCTGGGTCTTCTGTGCGGATGCCTTGAAAATGCATTTCATGTATATTTTTAACAACAATTTGCGTAATCACTTTCCCACCAAAATTTTGGAAATTATTCCGGTGTGTATAATCATCCTTTTTGATACAATCGTTGTCTCTATATGCTATGTAACGTAAGAATGCTGCATCCAGTACAATTCTCATTAAAATGAGCAGAAGCATTCTTTGCTATTTACCGCCAATTAAAGATCATTATTTTAACAAAAATTAAACATTTGGGTATTGGCCCAAGAAAGTGAAAAATAAAAAACATTGGATCTATCACCACAAACATATGTTTAATTGTTCAAATAGAACTTTAAGTAAGGTCCCCTTCGCTTCACTTAATCAGCTAATCCGTCAAAAAATGTGACCTTTTTGCAGACCATGTCGACCGACCCACATTTTCAAAAGACCGCTTGTATTCAAAGCGTCAAATGATCCAGCTAAACAAATGAGAGCTTAAATTAACGCAAGTTTGTGTGAATACAAGGCGACTTCAAGAGGACTGCAGATCAGTCCCTAAACCTTTGCACGATAACTCCAAGTTTTTTTTTAAATGCGTTGAAAATTAAACTTCTTTTTGTAAACTGTTATTATTTTGCCCCTACCGTGGACGGCAAAGTCACTAACAGCGGCTCAAAAGCATTTACACCTGAGACCGGTGAACGGAAGCATCCAAGTGAGATTGCATATTACGTAGAGGCGAGAATGTTTTTTTCCAGTGTCCTGACTACCAAACTATTAACTACCCCATTTCCTCTCTCTCTCTCTCTCCCTCCCAAACGACTTAAAATGGTGCCACTGATGTTTGGTTTCAGAACCACAAACGGACAAATTTCAAAGTGGCGCCGATTAATCTTAGTTTGTCCTAAGTTCGTTTAAACAAAAAAGTCTGCACTGTGCTGTTGGGAGTGGTTTTAAACCACCTGAGTTCTAATGAATGTCAGCTACCCAAACTTTCTACCCTACCCCATGAATTGTTAAAGAGTCAGGGATAATTTGTTTAACTGCGGAGTGAATATAAGGATTAATTTATGAGGGGGTATTGCTTGCGTGACAACCGTTTCTACCTTGAGAAATTGTTGCCTCAGACATTATTCAAACGCACTTAAAAGACAAATGTGAGGCAACCAAAACACACCAATTGTTGCCACAATTACTAAGGCGCAATTTGTAAAAGGGCGTCAAGTAGCTTCTTATCTGTGGGCATCAAAAGATTTTTTTAAAGAATTAGGAACAGTAATTTGGCAACAGTTATGAAAAAAATATGTAAATGATGTATATATTGTCAAATAACTAGTCATAAGAAACTTGGCAGTCCTAAAGCGTTCGTATCAAGAAAACGGGAATTGCGTTGATTTCCAAACCATTTCCTGTTGTGTAAGGAAGCTTTACGCCTTTTACTAGGGGTTACTCAGCGGAGGAAGATCAAATGTGGTTCACGAATTTACGTAGGAGAATGAGGAATTCAAATTTAAAAAAAACAGAGTTGGGGTCTATATTAAAATATGTCAGTTAGTTACAAAATGGATCATGCTTGGAAACTTCTCATGACAGATTTATGTCGGATTGCTGCCAGCCGACTTACACGACCATGCATATATTTGTTGTTAAGTTTGACGGTTCTTGAAACTTAAGTTGTCGAAAAAAAATGTAATGAGTCGCATGATTCTGACTCAAGGATGTGTAAGACAACATAGCGTAAGACGGTTGAATTCTTCATCCAGATTGTAGAAGTGATCATTCGTAACTGCTCTTGATCACATACACTACCTGCTTCGGCTCGAATTTTTATAGAAATCTAGTCGATTAAATACACTAGAGGCCAGTGGGGTTTACCATGATCAAACCCACATTTTTCGGTGATTTGAATACTCCTTTGGGGAGATAAGAAAAGCGTCATCCCTACGACAATCATTCGCTAACTTACTTTCATACGGAATAATGATCATGAAATTTGGATTTACGATAGTCACAAGAATTTTATAAAAGCTATGACCTGAGAAGCAAATTACTTGGATTAACACATCAAATTGCTGAATTAGCCTCAGGTGGCTACGTGAGTTTGTAGACAAAAAACGAGAATTCCAGCAAACTGATTATGCCAAATGAAACTGTAGACGTTTTTTTTTTATAGAAAACTTCTCTAAATAGACGTAAACACTAAAATTAGACCAGGACTTTTGCAAATTACTACGTAATAACCTAATGAATGAGCCTAAAGTTCATGCCTTTTTCCGTTGAACGTAATAACGCATGCACAATTCAGACATTAATTCTGAGTTGGCTGAATCTACCTCAATGGTGGAAAATAGTCGTCGGACGAATTTGTCACGATTTTCAACCAAGTAAAACCCTGGCATTCAGCACTAAAATTGTGACCAGCTGCGATTAAATCATTAAAGAATTTGCAACTTACACATTTAGAAGGTAAGATGAGTCACTTCACCGCAGGATCAAATGGAAGGTTAAAAAATTCTCCCGAATTCTCGAACGATTTTTTTAATTAAATAAATTATTTAAAAGATATCACTTTTATGTTCTAATATCACGTTTTTCACGAACTCTGCAGTAATGCTTAAAGGGAAAGACGAGATTAACGACATGAATAACTCATTCGGCATTATTGGTCTAATCTAAGCATGTCAGATAGGCTGTCAATGCTTGCATAGACATCGAGGACGCTGTTGATTAATTTGTAAATAAGAAAGGTCTCACCCAGTGGTCACATGGATGACGAACTCTAGATATCTAATCATGATTTGTGACTTCATCTTCTCCGATTATAGTATCCCAGTCATTGTGTCAAAATTTTTAAACTGCGACGCTGTCAAACGAAAGACAAGTGACATGGGACCAAAGTGTCGCGTGATAAATCGGAATATTTATCCTACTAAATGTGAAAAGAAGTTTCTTTCTTGTGCTTTATTAATGTACACTTTGAAAGGTGTGTTGTGAATCGTGTTTATTCACACCCCTTAATCCGGTCGCTTCATCCTCCCACGCAAGTTTCCCCTTTTTGCGGCATGTCGCCAGCCCCTCGGATCCTCAATTCCCCCCTCATTCGCATGAATATTTATCTTCGATTATTCTCACACCTAGATCTCGATGACTCACGCATTTGAGGTATAATTACACACGCTCAAACCCCACACACGACACCAACGTGGTTGAGATTTGAAGTAAACGGTTTTGTCCACGTCCTCTTCGATCTTTTTCCTCATCTTGGGTATCAGGGAAGCGTAATCGGGCCAGGGTTAGCATCAGTGGCCCCGGCGTGGTTCAAGACCACATGCTGATGGCCCACAACAGGTGCATTTAAATCACATTCGTGTTTAGCATGGGGGGGGGCAGGCGCATTGTCGGCAATTTCGACAAGCTTCAGTATTCTTCCAGGTGGAAATCACTGGCTGGTGAGGATCACGACGGGACGCAGGGAGAGCAGGACGCGAGTCGAGTACGTCTACGCGTGCACCGCAAACGTCTTCTTGACGGTGCAAGGCACAAACGGCACCAGCGCGCCCCTCCTCCTCGCGATGTACCACAACCGCGGCTTCCGTGGAAGCAGTTTCCACGACATCGCCGAGGCAAGGGTGGCGGCTTCGAGGAGTGCGCCGGTGAATCGCTCCGAGAAACCGCTCTTCTCGCCCGGCTGCACTGACGAGTTTGAGGTATTCGTTTTTCACCACTCTAAACCACACTGCTGAACTTCGCTAAATGGCAAAGGCGAAAAATGGACTTATTTAGGCTATTTAGGTGGTCAATTCTGCAATTTGCATTATTAATTACAAATAGCTTGTTTAAAATGGGGTTACAATTTCAACTTCCGGTCAATTCTACTTCCTTTATTAAATTTGGGTTACGGATTTGCTTAGCCAGTAGCATAGAGTTTTTTATAAAGATAGCTTTTTTCAATGTAGTCTTGATTGTACCCTATACAGCATAAGCTGACTGGACGGGAAGTTAGCGGAGTACGTTTGATGGTATGGCGTTTGAACGTTAATACAGGAAGCCAACTCGTGATTCTGGAAACTCAGACTGAGTTACCTTTGTAAGCCACAAAATCGTTTTTTTTTAAAAATAAAATATCCCAGCTGAGGTAGTGCAGTCATTTGAAAGGTCATGGTTGCAAAATGATGCCAGATTTACAGGTCTAAATTTGATCCTCTTTTATTAATCGACTTTACGAAAAGGACCAAGCGACCTACAAAGAAGGTAAGACCAGAACAAAGAAGAAAACCCCGGTCGTTTTCTTGCAAATGTTTAAATCTTATCTGCGTTCGGCAGCTCAAAGAAACCATCTCTGTTTAACGATCACTGACAATGACTTAATGAACGCTAGAATAATATACCTCATTGCAATGTAAGAGACGTTATGGTACTATTGGGATTATTTCCACAAGCAAAGGAGCATTATCAGACACGGTGTCGAAGCACAAGTAAATGAGTAGTGGACGTTACGGCAGAATCCGAAAAAACTGAATCAATCGGATTGTTATGATATTTCGCGCTTGCAGGTGAACCTCGGGCATATTGGCGAGATTGTGAAGGTGCGTCTTAGTCATGACAACAGCGGTGACCACCCCGACCTCCTGATCTCCCACCTTCGAATGATCCGCCTCGACTCCATTCGTTCGCAGAACCGGACGCACAAGGAGGACAGGCCGGGGAACGGAGAGCTCACCTCGTCTGCCTCGTTCAACGGCCTTCACGCCGACTTGCCGCTCACAGACCTAACCTTCTACTTCAGCTCGTGGCTCTCTCGAAACCTCGGAGATCGCGAGGTGACCAAGGAGGTGGCTTCGCGGGCCTCGCTGGGATTGGTTCTGATGGAGCAGAGGCGCCAGCAGGAGCTTCACAGACGGTCACAGATGATCGCGCCTGTTCAGGCCGCCCTGGAGGAGCCCAAGTTTGTCCTGGAAGAAAAACAGCCCCTTCCGAGTGAGTTTGTCACCTTCAGGATTTCTGTGATTTGTAATTTTTTCATTTGCGCTCAATCTTGACTAATTTTTCCATACTGTGCTTTTGTGGAAATGTTTTTTTTTTGCAGTGGCAATGAGATAAATCAAATTTCGACAAGGTACGCCACCTTGATCTCAAGTTCCAGAATTTCATTTAGGCTGAGACGCCGTGGTCAAAATGCATGCGCATAAAACAGTATTCCTGCTGAAAAACCATTAATAAATTGGTGATTGTTCAGTTTCAGCGACATGAACAGGAAATGAAGCTGTGCAGGAGACCAGTAGTAAATCTCTTCCTGCACGCTCATTACCCGCAAGCGAGTCTTGGCTCAAAAAATTTGAACCTGAAAATCATTAAACTTGTTTAGAAAAGGGCGTTTTATCACAAACTTGCAAAAGTCCACGAAGATTCGAGACTGGCTTATAATATTTACAAGCCACCGTCTTCAAAGAAATGATAGATCGCAACAATATAATGAAAGGTCAAGAATTTGCAAGAAAGCCAACAGTATTTTATAAAACGCGTTTATTTAAAATGATCGGTCTTTTCTAGTCATGTCCGAATGGCGCACGGGGACATTTTCAAGCCTCAAACTTATAAAACAACCACGATGGCTTGGTTAACTAATTAACACCTCAGATAATCAAATGTAAGGAAGGACAGAGTGGCAGAGGGTGGAGACGGTGTTAATAACGAGTTGTGTGTATTTTAGATGTCCAGTACTGCCTACGGGTGAAAACTGGGAGCCAGTGGAACTCTGGAACAAAGGCAGACGTCACCGTGGTTCTGAGTGGTGAATTCGGCGCCTCTGGTCCGCGTCAGTTGTGGCATGGAGAGTCGGCGAAAACCCAACCATTTCGTCAAGATCAAGTAAACCGTGACAGAGACTTGGATTTGCCCCCTATCTGCAACATGCTTCATTTTAACTAGGGCTCTTAACGCGTGTGACTGTTGGCAGTAGGATTTATCGAAACACTAACAACAAAACCAGCACAAAATCTTAAACACCAGAATGGATAGTGTTTAGGTCTAACGTACAGGTTGTTGAAACTGAATCATCGGGCTCACAATCAGGTTAGCGTAACTAACTTGGGCTCACACAAAATATTCCACTTGATTCATCAAATAGTGTTGTGGTTACTCAACTTAACAGCATAGACGTGTTGAGATTTGTGGTAATAAAAAATTATAACGCATTGCACTTACATCTCGTAGGACTCCTTTGACATACAAATGGGTACATTTTTCCTCATCCGTGGTTAAGATGTGGTCTCGCCTCGTGGATGACTCCGAGATCTCGTGAAGACTCCTAACATCTTATTGTAGGTTGACGAATTCCGGTTGCAATGCGTCACCCTAGGACGGTTATCTTCGCTTCGCGTTTGGCTGGAACAGTCGAGTGCGAAGATCTCGGACACCTGGTACTTGGAATGGATCCAGGTGATTGAAGAGGACGCACCTCACACCACCACCCTTTCTCCGCCTTCCACGTCAGTGGTGCGTCAGCCGCCGACTCTGTTCTACTGTGGGCAGTGGCTAGAATCGGACTTAAGCACTAATGACGTTGAGCTGACCCCATCGGTCCAACCCATCGAAAGACTGCTTGGCCTTAACGAGGAAAGTGACTTCGGATTTCCAGAAAAGATAGCCAAATTGGTAAGCACAAAAATCACATTTTTGATGTGAAGAGTTAAGTTAGGTCTTTCAAAGTAAACCCCAAAAAACGCACTCTTTTTTCAAGTGGAATTCAATGGCCTGGAAGTTCAAACATGGAATGGAAATTTCGTTTTACTCTCTCGAGACTGGAGAGCCATTCAGGGTGCTGGAAAGCGGTGAAATTTGTTTGGCGAAGTCGAAAGGAGGTGCTTCGAATGGTAAGTTCAACTTTGCACGTTTAGCACTGAAGCGCAAACTCCAAATGCAGTTCAATTAGGCATGACGTAGTGTATATTTGGACAGCACTCAATGATTACCTGACCTATCAGCCTTTTACCATTGTCACATGCATTCAGATTTACTATTTGAAGGTATTGACGAGAAATGCAATGCTTTCGGTAGTAAAAATGATATCACATTTAACTGGTGGACAGGGCATTCGAGTTACTGCTGCGGTGTACACACAGCCACAAAAGTGGTTTACTAGCATTGTAGCTCACCAGCTTCATTTCATGTGGATTTAAATTAATATTTAGGATTTCAAAGACTGCGTCAATTTTATTTCGAGCATCACTCCAGACAATTCAGTTTATTCTTAGTAAAAACTGCGTTCATTTTTTTTAAAAAGCAATTAGTTTCGATTAAAAGCACAGGTAGGTAATTTCACTGCGAAAGAAATATTTAAAAACGAGTGAAGTTTCCCACTAGCTTGGCGTTTTTACAGACTCTGACTTTAAATCTGTTTCCCGCGGTTGCAAAAACCACAATTCTAACATCATAAATTGAATAGGAAAAAGCGTCTTGTCATCTGCCTTTTTGCTCGGACCGTGATTGGTCGAGATGGCCATGTGAAGAGGTGTCTCTGAATATCGGCCCCTGGAAACAGTACCAAGACCAGTCGACCTTCCTCGAAGTGTGCTACCACCTGTCAACAGAAAATTTTCACACTCCTAACGGATCTAATCAATAGAAGAGCGTTTAATTCAGTGTCTTTAAAACCGACTAGCACGGTGATCTAGATACGTTTTGAATGATGGTTTGACAGCATTGAAGGATAATTTTTAGGAAAATAAATCGGATTAAATGCAGTAAAATTAAATAATGCCCTTTATTGATTTGAACTTGCTTCCGATGTGTTGTAGGCCGGAAAATTCGCTTCCCGTTTTAGAAAAAATTCACCAATATTGCACAGATTGGATTAAACTGCTGTGAAGCAATTGATTTGACTTGATTTCCGTTCTACAGTTTAGGAACCCAGTAACCACTGTTCAGCCAACGCCTGTGATGTGTTTAAATGCATTACAATTTCCAGATGCTGCATATTTCCTGCCGGTTATGGCAGAGCAATGCTTCCGTTTTTGGTATAGGCGCACAGGGTAAGCCCTTTTTGAGGGTTCTGGCATGTGGCTTTAAACCACATTGAAGCTATCGCGTTGAGTTGGCACAATCACGCTTCATGGAAAATCTTGGAGACAGAGAAAGCGGAACACTGTGAAGAAACAATCGTTGATTGGATAGCTCAACCCGGTTGAGGGTCGCGCCACTGTACATAAAAGTGTCTGACTAATTAGGGTTGTAGATCAAAACGGTTTGTGCGACCTTGTGAAGGTACAAGAAGCTGAAGGGCCAGATGAGTGGAGTTGGTAGCGAGGACGGTTTATGCCCTAAGGGTGAATAAAACAGACGGTTCTTCATGGAGATGCCCTGAAAAAATAAGGACGGGGATTCTGATCTTGAACTAGAAGCAGCCTCCACCAACTGCGTTCATTTTTTTAGAAAAAAGCAATTAGTTTCGATTAAAACATAGGTAGGTAATTTCACTGTGAAAGAATGATTTCAAAAAAGCGCGATTTTTTCCACTTGTGTGGCAGTTTTACAGACTCCGACGTTAAATCTGCTTCCCGTGGTTGCAGAAATTACAATTCTAGCATCTTAAATTGAATAGGAAAAAGCGTCTTGTCATCTGCCTTTTTGCGCTGACTTTGGGCACAGGGCTTGACGTGTAAAC